AAGTCACCGTATTTGAACCTCCGTGGCCATAAATGGATTTTTATTCCTCCTTAGATTTAAACTTGTGACTTCCTGATACTTTTGATCTTTGGAGCCAAGCTCAAACCAATCAGACACCACCCTTATGGTTTTGTTTGTATTATATTATAAAATATCATAATTGACAAATTTTTAAAAACACCCTTTTTAGTCACTTTGCATGCTTATCACATAGTTTGTCAAACATGGTTTATTTATCAGCTAGCTTATTAGACACTAACTAGTTTACCAAACATTTCCTTAGGGACTGTTCGGTTCATTTTCTGTTAAGATATGTATGGATAAAGTTGTATGTATGTTAACAAATAAGTGGTTGTGCTGAATAAACAATATGAATGTAAAAAAATGACCATTTTATCCCAAATATTTATTTATGTAGGAATAAAATAACATTTTGATAAAAATGTTAAATAAATGACTTATAATTGTAAAATAAACCAGTTTAAACATTTTTTTTAAATAAAAAGAACTTGATTTAACACAATTATATGGATTCAATGTTATAATCAAAACAATATTAATAAGTCCTTATAATACAACCAAATCAACATCATAAGTTGGATACATTTAAATATTTCAAACACACTACAAAAATGCAAAGTATCAGCGAGAGAAAATTCCCTCGTAAATCCGTCGCTAAAAGGGTCACCCGTTGCTGATCTGTCGCTGATACTCCATCGGTCAAATGCTTGTAGGTAATGCTATCAGCGATGGATGTCAGCGACGGATTTGCGAGGGATACTTTCAGCGACGGATCAACGAGAGAATATCTTCAACAACGGATTTGCGAGGGATAAATTGTATTTTTATCTCAAGAATGAGAATTCGTATTAACATCTGGTTACAATAATCTGTAATGGATAAAGTAGATCAAACAAAATTGAATTTCAAATTTTAGGATGTTGATTTTTTGTTCCCAAATCAGTGGATATTAACGAAGAACCCTAGAAAAAGGTCTTACTTGTATGGTAAAAACGAATTCATCTTATCGCCTTTCTTTTCTGCTCTTTTTTGTGCTTAAAATAGTTCATGGAACGATAAAGCTGATCCGGCCTTCAAATTTTCGACGACTCTGGTCACCTCCACGGAGATGATCCTGCCGCAGCAGATCCAAAACTCTCCCCCATCATCGAATAAGCTCATATCAAACAACTATACATGGTCGTGTGAGTAAGCCATATCAGCTCGTTAAACTATAACTGAATAGCCGCTTATTAATATTGTTTTAGATTGAATTGTTTTAAAAACTAAAATGAAATGGTAAAAAATACTGAATTTCCCTTTGCTTAACAGGTTCAGTAACTCTATAAGTGAAAAAGGATTTATTTAATAGATTTTAAACGGTTCAAAGATTTATCTGTACTATATTATAAAATATTTGGCAAAAACTCTTAAAAAAATATTTTTTATGCATGCAGTACTGTTTATTAATGCATATTACTTAAAGTTTAAGATTACAAGTAAATTATACGTAAGTACAACTTATTAAAGTTTCATTTTTGAATTCGTGTAACTAACCGTAGATAAACATAATCAAATACATGATAAACATTACATTTTAAATATAAAAAATCTAAAATATAATTAGGATAATCATTGATTTCTAACAGAATCACTATCTTTATAAAAATTATATTGTTAAGTCAAAAGTAAATTTTTCGCTAATAGACCTAAATTAAATTATAATAAAAAATTAAATTAAAGAAATTGTAAAAAAAAACGAGAACTTTTAAGTAATTAATTTGATATTAATATCGATATATTTTTTAAAATTTTATGATAACTTCAAATTTATTTTTATTCAAAAGTAAAAAACATCATCTTTATCAAAACAACATAAACCGTATTATATATCAATATATACAAAAGATAAAACGAAACGTTAAAATGAAGATGTATCTCACTGCATTGCGCGAGTACCCTTCTAATCTATATTATATTATAAAGCATTTGATTAAAAACCATTTTTATTTGTAAAATACTGTTTATTAATACATATTACTTAAAACTCAAGATTACAAGTAGATTGTGC